GAAAACGCACTTCCTCCTCGACCTCGTATGATTGCGAAAATATATATATATATATATAGTATTTGCAAGTTTGCAGGCATCAAGTCTTGCAAGTGGAATGACATCAATAATTTCATCACTATTCTTGGCACAACAAAAGAATATATATATATATATATATATATATATATAATCAACCCATACACAGGCTTGCTTTTCCTGAATAGTTTTTAACAAAACCTTGCTTGAAAAGCCATCATATTTTGGACATTACATTTCATCATCAAATAAAACTATACAAATTAATTTATTTATACCTGATATATATATATATATAAAAGAAATACATTTTTTTTTTTTTTGAGTTTTAATGGTAAAAGTATTTATCTTTTAACCACTAGCTTAAGATTCTCTATTTATCTCAGTAAATTCTTCTTGCAAGTATCTTATGAAACTTATAATTATAATCATGCAGAAAGATAAGGTATAAAATTCAACTTTTTTTTATATATAAATTTTAAAACTTTATATTGTTCACATAATTTGAAAAAAAAAAACATAATTTAAACTTTTGAAAAATTATCAAGAAACAGAAAATAGATGAAAAATATAGCCTTCATAATTCCTTTAGTTTTTTTTTTAAATATCATTAATTAAAGTCACACTTGATTATATATCATGACTAATTACATGAATTATATTTAATTAGATACATTTTAAATATGATATATAATAATTAATTAATATCATATATCGTATAAATCATAATTAGTTTTACATTCAAAATACATGGATTGGATTATGCAAGTCATAATTAATTAACATCTCATAAATCTATGCACAATGATGTATTTCGTCATAAAAGCTATGTAAATGGTCTGAACTCTAAACTCTTAAAAAAGACAACACGTAACTTTCAACTTTTTTCTTTTTTGGGTCGGTGTCACAAAAAAAACTTCAACATCAATCCCAGTACCAGATGAAACTAGGCCCATATCTTTCCACGTGGCAGTTTTTCAGCCGTCGAAAAAGATACTTCGATCACCAACATTTTCACACGCTGACATGGGGGGAACCAGACCACGCGAAAAGGCAAAAACTCACGAACTTCCGAACTTTCACTTCTCGTTTGAAGAAAAGGAAATAGATTTGAAGAGGTGGGGTGGCTGAGGTCTCTAGAATTTTTTGTCTTAGCATAAACATTTCTATCCTTTACTAAATAAATAAAAAAGTGTCCTGCCCTTTCATTGTTTTTGCAGCAGCAACAGCCTCTTCTTCAACGTCGTACCTTTTCTCTTCCAATAGGTAAGACCAACGTCAATCCCATTTTCATAGTTTATCATTATTATTGTTTAAATTATTAAAAGCGATTCTTTCTTAATTATGAATTTATTAGTAATTGTTGTTATTATCTGTCTGTCGGTCCCCCCCCCCCCCCAAAAAAAAAAAATCTGGGTTTGGCTTCTACTTTAATAAAAAAAACAAAAATTGTTGCATGAATTAGATGGAAATCAATCTTCAAGATTTGGATTTAGGGTTTTTAATTTTATGTGATTTTTCTTTATGGGTTTGAAGGAGAGAGTGAATATTTCGCTAAGATTTAAATTTGTTTTGTTTCTTTCTTTTTTTTTAAATGAATCTGAATTTTAGATTAGATTCTCTTACATTACCTGATTGGTTCATTTGGGATTTGAACAAAAATATAAAAATATCAATTGATGGCAGGGATGGGTAGTTAAACAAGATTCTCTGGTCTGGTTGAGGTTGAAGATGAAGGGGCTTACAGTTTAGTCCCTGCAGCTTTAATTATTTTTCATTTTAGTCCCTGCAGTGAAGTGAAGTGCTGTTTTGAATTGGTTTTTCAGAAATATCCCTGTGTTTTAGTAAAGCTCTTTCAGATTTGCTCGAGGTTTTGAATCTCTGATTCCTGAAATGATTGTAGATGGACCCAATAATCTTATTTTAAATTATGCATTAGTAGCACTCAAAAATTATTATTTTGCCTGCTCATGTGTTTTGTATTCTCTGTGTGTGTGTGTGTGTGTGTGTGTGTGTGTCTGAGAAGGCTAATGTACTTACTTGGATTAATTGTTAAAATTAGCTACTCGATTGTTTTTCTTTTTAATTACATATTTACCTCTAAGAAATATTAAATACTTATATCTAACCAATTTCTTATTAATTTTTTAAACACTTTTAATTTTCCAAATGCGATATCTCTGTTTTATGTTACGGATCTGTTACCACTATATGTGTACAGGATTTTGGTTGTTGAATGGCCTTCGCTTTTTGAAGATTTTTGTTCAGTTACACCTTACATATTGACGCTATATTTGTATTTATCAGTGCAATGATGTACTTAAGGACTTTCTATAAGGTTAATAATATGTGGCTCATACTTAAAGTTGGAGGTTTAATTTTAGAGGTGTGGTTTTGAAGTGAATGAGGGGTAATTTCAGTAAGACCTTTACTTGAAATCATTTGCAATTGTGCTATGCTAGTCTACGGATTAGGATTATAGCATCAGCACGTATTTCTGTTGTTTTCTCTGAGGTTGCTTGGTTTTGGTAATGTAACTTCTTTTAGTTTGTTTTAAGTATGTTATGTTTTCGGATCATGCTTTGGCTGCTAGAGGTGCTCAGATAGTGATGAACTGCATCTTGATCTTTTGGATTGAATTCAAATAAACTTCACTTTCTTTGTTAAAAATGTCAGTTCCTTAACAAGCTAAACCCTGGCACTTTTTTTGCTTCACAGATTTTCAAAATGGCAGCAACATCTACTGCTACCTTTTCAATTGGATCAACCACCTCCTTTGGCACCAAAGCAAGCCAACTCCCACAATTAAAGCCCTCATCTGTGAGATTCAACTCCCAGAACTCACTTGCGACCTTCAGTGGACTCATGGCAGCAACATTTGTGAAGTGTGAGTCAGAGTCATCTTTCTTAGGAAAGGAAAGTAGTGCAGCCCTTCGAGGCTCTGTTGCTCCAAAAGCTCCAAAATCAAGCCAAAGGTCACAGTATCACCTAAACCCACAGGCATCTTACAAAGTGGCAATTCTCGGAGCTGCTGGAGGGATAGGTCAGCCTTTAGCACTTTTAGTTAAGATGTCCCCTTTGGTTTCTGCCTTGCACCTCTATGATATAGCAAATGTCAAAGGAGTTGCTGCTGACCTTAGTCACTGTAACACTCCCTCGCAAGTTCTGGATTTCACAGGAGCTTCTGAATTACCGAATTCTTTGAAGGGTGTAGATGTCGTTGTCATACCAGCTGGGGTTCCAAGGAAGCCTGGTATGACCCGTGATGATCTCTTCAACCTCAATGCCAATATAGTAAAGACCTTGGTTGAGGCTGTTGCTTATAACTGCCCTGATGCTTTCATACATATTATCAGCAATCCAGTCAACTCTACAGTGCCAATGGCGGCAGAAGTTTTGAAACAGAAAGGTGTGTATGATCCAAAGAAACTCTTTGGTGTTACTACACTTGATGTTGTGAGGGCCAACACATTTGTTGCTCAGAAGAAGAATCTCAAGCTTATTGATGTGGATGTACCAGTGGTGGGAGGGCATGCTGGGATAACCATTCTTCCCCTTCTATCGAAGACAAGACCCTCAGTTAGTTTCACTGATGTGGAAGTGCAGGAACTAACTGTAAGGATCCAGAATGCGGGGACAGAAGTTGTGGAGGCAAAGGCAGGGGCAGGGTCTGCGACCCTGTCAATGGCATATGCAGCTGCCAGATTTGTCGAGTCTTCTCTTCGTGCACTTGATGGTGATGCTGATGTGTACGAGTGCTCATATGTGCAATCTGATCTCACTGAGCTTCCATTCTTTGCTTCAAGGGTAAAACTTGGAAGGAAGGGTGTTGAATCTCTTATCTCATCTGACCTCCAAGGACTGACTGAGTATGAACAGAAGGCACTGGAAGCTCTCAAGCCTGAATTGAAGGCCAGCATTGAGAAAGGTATTGCTTTTGCTCAGAAGCAACCAGTGGCTGCATAGATTGAATTCAGTTCAAGAAGCCGTAACCAGACAGATATGTGGGTTTATCGAGGTTGGTCATTTTTTTTTCCTACATCAATGCATCGGCATTTTCAGTTTGGTAGAATTTTCTTATGTCTTGAGAAACTTCTCTGAAGAGATATTTTCTATAGTGATTCATCAAAAATATATTTTTCTAATAGTTTCTAGATTCACAAATTGCAATTCCTACTATCAAGAGGATGTAACTTTTTTGTCCCGAGATAACATGGGTGATGTGACCCAATTTCGCATTGATGAGAAACATTTTTTTTTTTGCTAGATTGCATGCATCGAGTATCATCTGGAGTCCAAGAGAGCATGTTCATTTATCGTTGCTTCGTTGCTTAGCTTGAACTTTTGTCAGTAAGGCAGTATCGCAAATCTTTGAATTTGTTGGGAAGTATAAAAAAACCAAAATGGCATGAGTAATGGATTGGCTTAGAAGCCTAGCAATCCTTCGTTGTATACCAAGACGGCAAGAAGCACCCATTTGTTTGAATTGATAGTCTTGTTTATAGGTTAACGTTTTTTTTTTTTTTTTTTTTGCTTGTCACACTCGTTGCTGATCTTACTATTGTCAGTGAACCTGCAAGCTTGGTTGGTCAGTAGCTAATAACAACTTAAAGACTGCCTTTTCTACAAAATGGTTGACCATTAGCTAGGACACAAGTCTCAATGGGCAGTGAAAAATATCCTTCAAAATTAGGAAATCAGAGCATGAAACCATAAAAGTCCCAATACTTGAACAGCTGCGATGCGCAATCAAGGTTTGAAGGGAATCAGTAGAAAACCAAACGATAATGCAGTTAAAAGTCACTGAAGACCACTTTGGGTTCAAGAGGAGCACTAAAAGTCAGACAACAAAAGTCTAGCACTTGGGCCCAGATTGTATTACCACATCCCAAGCAATTAAAAAGATTATCATCCACCAGAACAACACCATTGACAAAAGAAGCAAGAGGACATCGACCAGGCAACACAGAAAAACCATAGTCATGGAGAACAAGCACTTCCTCTTAATCACCTTGCCTTCCCAAGGCCATATAAATCCTATGCTCCAACTTGGCAAGTGCCTAATACATGCAGGTGCTGGGAGAGTCACTTTTGCCACTACAGTACATGGTCTCTCTCAGATCAAAGCCTTCCCTTCGCTTGAAAACTTACACTATGCCTCTTTCTCTGATGGTTTTGATGATGGAATCAAACCAACCAACGACCCACATCACATCATGTCCGAACTCAAGCGTGTTGGCTCCCAAACCTTAGCCGCGCTCCTCTTGTCCTTATCCAAGGACGGTAATCCGGTCAGCTTCCTAATCTACACCATTCTCCTCCCTTGGGCGGCTGATGTTGCACGGTACATGTCCATTCCATCTGCTTTTCTTTGTATTCAGTCTACTACTGCCTTGGCCCTATGTTACTGTTTCTTCAAGGAACATGATGGTGTTTATGATGATAATGACAATAGTCGTCCTAGTTCAATTGACATAATTGGACTGCCACCATTCACAAGTAAAGATCTACCTTCCTTCCTTTTGCCTAATGATGCATATGCATCAACACTAATCCCTGTTTTTCAACACCATATCCAAACACTAGAAAAAGACTCAAACCCATGTGTGCTACTCAACACCTTTGACTGCCTAGAAGAAGAAGCAATCAGAGCCCTCAGTAATCTGAATCCAATCCCAATTGGACCATTAGTTTCGTATGCATTTTTAGATGAAAACCACCCCACAGACTCGTCTTGTGGGATTGACTTGTTTGAAAAATCTGTAGATTACAGTCAGTGGTTGAATTCAAAGCCAAAAGGCCCAGTAGTTTATGTTTCCTTTGGAAGTCTAGCAGTGTTACAAAGAAATCAAATGGAAAAGATATTGCTTGGCTTAATTGGTTCACGCCAGCCGTTCTTATGGGTAATCCGACCTTCAGGTAGTAATGATAGTGAGTTTGAGGAGATGGTAAAGAACAAAGTGAGTGAAGAAGTAGGGTTGATAGTGCCATGGTGTTCACAAAAGGAGGTGCTCGCTCACAAGTCAATAGGGTGTTCCATAACGCACTGTGGATGGAACTCAACAGTGGAGAGCTTAGCGGCAGGCGTTCCTGTTGTGGGGTTTCCACAGTTCTCTGATCAGACAACAAATGCAAAGATGGTAGAAGAGACGTGGAGAACTGGAGTTAGAGTAAGAGTGAATGAAGCTGGTAGTTTAGAAGCAGAAGAGATTGGGAGGTGTTTGGAGATGGTGATGGGAGGTGGCGAGAGAGGTGAGGAAATAAGAAGGAACGCTAGAAAGTGGAAAGGATTGGCTTTGGAGGCTGTGATGGAGGAAGGAGGTTCTTCGTATAACAATCTCAAGGCCTTCGTGAAAAAGATCCAAGTGATATAGACATTTTCATAACATCCTCTGAAAATATGGTGTAGTCTAACAGAAATGGTTCCCCACCTTGATTTATACTGAGCTTGAGTATACCCCTGTTCTGATGAAAGATGTTTATTGTATCTTCCGAAATGAATAAGTTGTGTATTTGTGTGTAGAGTTTAGTTGAATTGTATATGTATTAAGTTAAGATTGGAATAACTGATGAACCATGATTCGATTGACATGTTGCCATCCCATCTTCTACAAGTAGGTTTGATTCTCTTGGATTTTCAGTACAGGAAGACAAACAAGGAAGGATGTTATAAGTTATAACGTTGTTCGTGTAGTAATATAAGCAGTTTGATGTTTTATGTTGTATGTTATTGTATTCCAACTAAAGATATTCTCCAAGAAAGATTAGACCATAGCAGACTACCAATACATCTTCTGACAAAATTGGTTTTAAGATTGTATGCTCGAGGTTGATAAGGACCAATTTGTGCAGAAGCAATTTGATTGCATATAATGGAGTTCTAATTTCTAAACTAGAAAACTTGACCAAACTGAAGGAATTGTCTGTCGAGGGTGAGAATTTTTGTTGTTGTCATTGCATCAGCATTTTCAATTTTCGTTTTCGTGCCTTGAAACTGAAAAATAGATATTTCACGTAAGTGTTGGAGTTTTGAAAGTTGCAATTGGTACCACTAAGAGCATTTATTTTTCTGCCTGTCTCGGTTGATAGTTTTATAATTATCAATTTATCTGACACTTGCAAATATAGTTCTGTATCTAATAGTTTGGACTCTTACCTTTTCTAGAGAAAGGTAACTGTTAATGAGTGCACAAGCCTTCATAGGCATTGAAATACTACTATATGAAAAACATAAGAGCTTATGATGGAAAAAGTCCTCATGTCCCTGTCTTGTGTGCTAATTGCATTATGTTGATATTTGCTACCAATACCTTCCCTATTAGCAGATTTGCAACTGCATCCTTATTTTTCATGTGGAGTGATACAAGAAATTTCGTCGATATTTATTGGTACCAAAAATGTATATGAGAAAATTACTTGATCATCCGATAGGAAATTTGCACAAAGCTTTGCTTTTTCTGAAAAAATTGAACAAAAAAGCTGTCTTGAAAGCTTTCTTATTTTTACTTTTACAGATGCGTTTTTAAGTTTTCCTATCTTAACAATTTCATTCAGAACCAAATGTCAAGCCATATTTATAAACAACTTGCTGACCTCTTAAACTCCAAACCCTTCACCACAAGGGGTGTCTGTCTCGTCCATATGACGTTCATTTATTGAAATAGGAACAAACTGATCTGACCATTTGTGCACTATTACTCGAAGAATTCCTTCTTTCACTTTGGTATCTAATTTCTTATGACATGTTAAAACAAATAAACAAGTTGATGTCTAATTTATAACATTAACAATATAAGATGACCAATGGCAATGAGCTGACCACTCAGTGGTATTCTTGCAAAAGCAAGAGGGATAGAGTCTTGGGCATATTCTGTCACAATTAGATGCTGTCCAGCAATCACCTGCTTGAGTGGAAAGGAGGTCCACGTTCAAATCCCTCTAAGCTCAAACTGCTGACAGTCTGACACTAACCACTGCCACCTTGGAAAAAATTTTGTATTATGAATGACATGAATCACCGGTGATCAAATCCCTTTTATGACGTGTTTATATTTGGCAACAAACGACATGCCCTAAACAATCTCAATGTCAAACAAATAAATAAATATAGGATAAAAAAGAGCCAGTATGCATACCTGGTCACGACTTGAGAGTTGAGAGTGACTTCCAAGTATATATCATAAGATCCAGAGAGCGAAAAGGGAGAGAAAATGATAAGGAGAAACTAAAACGATGAAGATTTTTTTTTTAAAAAAAGCAGCTTCTCGTTATCCGTATGGAAACCTCTATCTGAATGAGAAAACCAACAAGGAAAATAAAAGGTTCTTATTCTTACTTTCTTCCAGGATACCCCACGCAACTGGGAAACAAACCAAAAAGAATATAAATAATATATACATGAACAACCGATCTGGGGCTGGCTGTGGATCGGGGACAGACAAAAATGAACACAGTTTCTGATATATGGACCAAATGAAGTAATCGAGGACGTAGATACATCAAGAGCTGAATGATACACTAGTATTTTTCTCTTCTTGGTCTCTTATGAACTTGATCTGAGTTTTCTGCATTGCTCCCAACTCCATCTTGTACGATCACTTGATTGCTTAGATACTGGTTTACCTGATCCTGGGCAAACAATGCATAAGGTAAACAAATAGAGAGAGAGAGAGAGAGAGAGAGAGAGAGAGAGAGAGAGAGAGAGAACCAGATGAAGACAGATGGCTAAGCTACTAAAAAAAAAGGGCGACAAGTGCAAACAAAACTTGCTAAAAAATCATAGCATCATCAAGGTCTGTTAAAAACCACCACATCATAGGGGGCTTCTGTTCAAAAATCATAGCATCAAAGGGCTCCTAATACTCTAGTCAAGATCATAAAATAGCCTTTTTTTTTTTTTTCTTTTTTGTTCTTAAGAAAATCTACCTGCTTGAATACTTCATTTGGAATCATATAGGACTTCAAATAATTATAGTTTAGGATCATAGAAAAAAACCTTTGAACTTGGTGCCGCAGCAGTTGTACTATTTTCTCGTTTGCCAACATCAATTTGCACTGCAATGCTTGTCTGTGCTAGATCCACACCCGAAGATTGTAGTGCTTGGGTCAGAGTATTTAATATCCTGCTGAACACCAAAAACCCATTCTACAACAACATATAAGATCTCTTTACAGCACTACTTAACAGCTCAATGAACTGCTGGCAGGTATGATTGCTAAGACTACTATTAATATCGCTAAAACTTGTCTGAGTTCTGAAGATTAAAATAAAAATCGTTACAATAAAATAGGTCAAAAAAATTCAAACCATAAAACAGGGACTAATCATGGCATAAAATGACACTTCATGTCATACAAGTACAAGCAACACGCATGATGACCCACCAATTTGCCTTGTTCAAAAACTTTACCCCAGGTAACCAGTGCATAAAATTTGAAAACATAAACTCCCAGACAACATCAAGGTAAAACATTATCGAGTTACCAACCAAGGCATTTCTAACATAAATACTTTCATCAAACTCTTCTAAGATCTATAAGCTGGTGCTAGACAACCGTGATCTTTCTTTCCTCATCTCTCCCGAGTATGGTCAGTGCACAGTATACATGACCAAAAATGCTAGTTTCATAATACACATGCCCATGAAGTGAATTTATCCAAGAATAAGGTTAATAGCTCCATTTCGCAATTACTAATACAACAGAATTATTAAGAGATGGGCAGATGGTCACCGTTGAGAATAGGCATTTGAGAGATTAACTGATCGACTATCACTCTCCATGTTCTCCTGTCCATTCAGTGTATTGTTTGGAGTAGTACACTCAGGGGGGCATGGTCGACCATGCAATAGTTGGGATTGAAGCTGGTGAGCCATGTTCTCAGCATCAGAAACAGATTCCTGTAAAGACTGTGTAGGCACACCACCCCTCCCAACAGCAGCCAATACATTCAATGGTGTTTGCACATCAAAAGGAATTGCTGGGTTGGTGGATCCAGGGGGATCATCCAATGCTTTATACATTGCAGCAACGCCCATGTCAGATTCTACTGAGTTATGTACATTTGCAAGCATTACAGTATTCTCATGCGCAGAACCATTCTTCACAGCTTGTGTGTGATCCAGTATGCTTTCGGCAGAAGCACGATAATTCTTCTGTTTCAAAGAAAACAAAAACCATTTTGAAGGGAGAACAATATAGGGAACAATATACCCAACATCAAATATAAAGAGGTCATGATTACAATTCACGTCTAGAAAATATTCAACAAAGAGAACAACACATGCACTTTCTGTTCTTACTGTGATAAGTGAACATAATCTGGATAAACCCCCTCTGTTCACTTAAATTCACCAACATCTTGGTGTGTAATTGCCCACATTATTAGTAAATAGAAAAGTTGATGTACACTATTACCCAATTACCTTATGAAAGATAATGTGTTTTGAAGTTAAGAAATAGGAAACAGATTAAGTTGTAGGTAATATTGGTATTCTATGTCCAATAAGTGGATATGAGCGCATTTGATATACTATTTTGAAACGATGAACAGTTTCACGAAAATGAGTAGAGAGCCTGGCTGTTTAAGTGCTGTTATTTCAGATGATCAAGAGGAAGTAAATCAATTGAAATCTAAAGAGGCCCATAACTTGATGAATCACCATATCAAGTGCAAATAGTAACTAGAATGTAAAGCAAAATTTTCAAATTGAAAGCAATCAGCATGGACACAGTTCATTTAAACAAGTGCAGCATTCACATGAAAACAACTCCGGAACCTAGGTCACTAGATTCAATCAGAATGTTTTTTCAAGCCTACAAATGCATACGCTCAAATGCCAGTGTGCAAGTTATACACAGTGCACCAAACCCCAAATTATCCAAGGTCCAAAACACTCTTAGGCCTGCATTATAAAACCAAGGTTGCATCCTCAACATTACAAAATGGAAAAGTGAACACGTGCACTAAAAACTTAAAATATCATGACTAAGTCGTTTATAAGAAACCCTAACTCCTGGAATCGAAAGCTGAACTAATAATGAAAACAAGAAAACATTCATTGACATGTTTACAAATTTTGAAAGTTGTTCCACATTTAAATATACTTGATAAAGTAAAAGTAAGGAGGGAAAAAAAAAATCAAAGCTATCAAGGAAGTTATCACTGCCCCCCATTTTAGCTATCATGTATGTAAATGCACACGAGAATCCATTAAATGTGCAATCTTAATCAAAATCAGCATACTTCATTTAGCATGTTTTAAACGTGCAAAAGTTGTAAATTGTAAGCATTTCCTTCAAGTCCAAACAATAATCTTTCTGGTCATGACAAGAAACCCAACTTGCATGTCAGGTGCAAGAATTAGAAACATTATTCGTCTATCCAAATGCACAGACAAAGAGGCACGAATGAAGTTCATCTATCCTTGAAGTTGTTTTATTCCCTAGTCTAGATTGTTATTGATTTGGCAGGGTATGATCATTTATCTTAAAATATTCACATTAACCAAAAATATGAATAGGGCATTCAAGCGAAAAGGATTTAGCTACTATTTCTTTGTAGAATAAACTCCTAAGGCACCTCTCCAACAAGAGTTGTTCCTGACTAGCAAACTAACATATGCATCATTTCCCATTTCATGAGGTCTTAAACAAAGGTACTTCATACATCACAAGTGACGGCAAATAGCACCAAACAAACTACTGTTAATCAAAAGGAATAATGTGCACATGCACACACGCACATGTCTAGAATCAAAAGTTTACCCATGGCAATAATTTAGCTGGCTCCTGACTCCAACCTTCATAAGATCCCTCGTACATTTGTAACTTTTCCTGTAAAAACTGGATGTACTCTATAACCTGCATATAATTGTAAAAACTTTCAATCAAGGCATATCTTTAAAACCAAAATGAAAAAACAAAATTAAACATGTTTGATCGGTTCACCTCTAACAAGAACGAAGCTTTATCTCTTTTCTGATCATTTTGAGGAATAAGATCTCTCAAAGCCTGAAACCTGCTTGACAAATATGTTCATCGGTGAGCCCAAAAACAACTCCTATTTTTAAAGTGTGATGCATTAGTAATCAAATGCAAAATACTCGTACTGTGAAAGATCAAACACAATCATTAAATACAAGACTCTTTTCTTTTAAATACTATATATTTCCGCATGCTGTAGTCTATAGTCACTAAAATTTAACAAATTGAAACAAAAATATCACGAAATCATCAACTTTGTTGTCATTTCTTAGGCAAATAAGCCTAAAACAACATACATTTCCGCAAGTGGTAATACATATAGCATAATTGCATCAATTTTATAAAAATTTCATGTAATTACAAAAATAAGAAAATTTGCCTCTCGTTAATCTTGCTCCTTCTACGCTGCTCCGTCTCGGAATGCTTGGACCGGTTCGCATTCGTCTTCAGCTCACTGCTTTTACTCTCTGCTTTCACTACGTCCCCTACATTTATGAAATTAATTAACAACAAAATCACTTTAAAAAAAATTAAAAACAAAAAACTGTATACGTTACCTCTATAGGACGACGAGTCGTAGTCTTCAGCCTCGTCTTCATCGTCGAGCTGAGACTTTGCTGATTTCACCATTACTACACTTTCTCGATAATTTTGACACTTTTTCTTAACAAATAAATAAAAGTAAAGTAGAAGAAGAAGTGCTTCAGTGAAATGAATCAGAATTTCAGTTCTGAAAGAAGGGGAGAGAGACAGAGCGAGAGAGAGAAATGGAGGAGGTCCGGCCTCCGGGAGGACCCGGACTATTTTAAAAGAGAGGAAGAGAGGAATTTTTTTTTGTGTACAGTTGTGCAGAGAAGCAGCCCTAGGGCCTAGGAAAATGATGATATGAGTGATATTCAGAGAATTTGTTTTTCAAGGAAAATTAACTTATTTTTACGACTACTGTTTTTTTTTCCCTGTTTATGTATATTTATTAAATTCGTTAAGTGGGTGTTAATAGTAAAGTAACATGACCGTCATCCTTATTAAATTGAAATTAAATAGTTATGATTTTGTGTATTGTAAAAATAAAAGGAGATTAAAATTATATTGTTTAATTTCTCTTTCCTAATTTAAATTTGTCAAATTCAAAATTAATTGTTAATATAGTTATGATAGGTGATGTTTGTCATTGTTGTGAATAAAAAAAATATTATATTTTTTAAATAGAAAGTAATATTTCATTTTAAATGGGTACTTTTATTGATATTTTAAAAAAATTAATTTCAATTGAAATGAAACTAATTCAAAAATACTTTTATCGTTTAATTAAAAAAAATATTGGTTCAAAATATTTCTTACCATTAAATAACAAAAAGGTTCAAATAATACTCAACTCTTGATAGTTATTAAAAAAAAAAAAAAATCACGTAAAGCTAAAAATATACTAAATTAGCCTCTTATCTATCTTATGGTGATGGAGATTTGGAACTAAATACGCAAGTGTATTACAAAGGCAAAGGAATATGTTCGTATGTTAGGTACAAGGATTAAGGATTTGGAACTTCCTCCGAATTCAATGGAGCTCTCCTATCTTTGTCGTTTTCTTTGTTTTATTCCCACTATTTCTTTTTGTTCTTCCTTAGTTTATTATGTTTGATGGACCTAACTCGTACGTTAGATTAGCCTAACACAATGATGTTCTGTTTTTGTCATAATATTGTATGAATGTGATGGGATTAAATATTTGGCTGACTTTTTATTGGGTTGCCTTTTCTTTAGCTTTTGTCCCGTGTTTGGAACATGGAATCATCCTACTAATCATTCATATTAATTAAGGATTGATGTTTATCTATTTTAGTATAAATTAATTTATTTCGTAATAAAAATGATAAGATTTAATTTTTTTTACTAAAATTGATGTCAAAATTTAACACGTTGACACAAATTTTTTTCGAAATTCAATCTTATTATGACATGATTAACAATTTATTTGATATTTTATTATTATTTTTTTTAGTAAAGTAGAGGAGAACATAATTAATGAAATGCCAAATTTACAAATCATGACATGAAAGACTGAGAATATGATTCTTCAAGTTCAAATTAAAGTCTAGTTACACCCGAAAACATTAATTTAAATACAATATCCTAATTCAAACCCAACCTGCAAGCAAATAAATTTTACAAATCATAGCAACAACTTTACAACATTCCTAACTTTTTTCTTTTTTCTTTTTTTGTGACAAACAAGATTAACCATGGTTAGTTTTTCTTTTGGTCACAACTTATAGGCCTCGAACTTTATTTATCCTAAAATATGATCAACCAAATCGAACCTTATGAGCAGCTGAAAAATGCCTAGCTGCTGCTACCATTGCCTCCTCTGGCCTGAAGGATATGCCTGAAGACCTACGCTCAGGCTCACCATTAGTTCTTGAAAGGTCACTGAAGAAGGAAAACACCCACCTTGAACAACTCCCATTCCTGTTCTTGCTGCCCATATATAATTGTTCAAGACTATCGTTATCCCTTCAACTAGCTAGGTATCTAGATGGCTTTTGAACAGTGACTGATTAATCCGTTTTCTTTCCCGGATTGTGATTAAACATTAGCATTGAAACTTTATATGTAACTGAAGATTCTTGGTGGTCACGCTTATATTCGAAGGAAGTCACGGTTTCCGAGGGATTTGGATAGGTTGATTGAAAATTTCAGGTCAAACGTGTTCTCTTGTTTTACATTAAGCAAGCAGATGTTTTTCTGTTCCAACCGGTGAAATAATGTGTTCTTGATAGGGCTAGGAGTAGCAGCTAACGATTAAGGATCTCCTAGTCCCAACAATTTTTGGCAAATATTATTCGCAGAGTGGTGCTTGATTGAGCAGAAACCTAAGTGAAAGGGTAACACATCTCATTAATTAAAATTAGAGGATTTTTGCAAATTTGAAAGCAATTAGTTGAACTGTTCCATCTAAAGTGAAGGATTCTGAATTCAAGATCCAACCAAATTAAACTCACTACCCCAAATAATGCTAACACTGAAAAATAAAAAAGAGTTGAAGCTAGTTACATTAGCACATACATCTCAGACAATTGATATACTGCAAATCACAGTTCAAAATTTCGGACCTAAAGAACCATAGATATCCTTGATCGGCGGGGTTTTTTTTTTCTGTTCTTTTTTATTTCATGGATCTAAATTGAATTAACCTAAGACTTTTTTTTTTTTTTTTATCATTATTTTTATGTATACGATAGCGAGTTAAAAATATTAGGACTGGTAATTTCTTGAGGATTTTGTCTTAGCAATTAGTTTTTGGCCAAAGGGAAATCTCCTAATCTTTCATATTTCCAAAGATTTTAAGGGAACGTTTGATTCAGTTCTATATCATTTATTTTGTGGATTTAATGGTATGATTATTCCTTGCTAAATAGATAGCCATGTAGAATCAGGAAAGTTAATTATTTGTCATGTACTTGTTAATGTATATTTATACACTAAAAACAAGTATTTATTTACTTTTTTATGGAGATATATTATTAATAATATACTAAAACAAAATATAATTTTATTGTCTCTAAGCTCGTGCTATAATGAACAAAACCACATGGTTTTATGTTTTGTTAACTTGAAACGACCTGTTTTACCAAAAAAAACAAAAATGATTTTTTTGAATATTTGTAGGCTTTTTTATACTTTGATCCTTCGATTTTTAATTTTATACAAAACAGTTTTTAAATTTAATTTTTGTTACCACAAGGTCTCTGTATTTTTTTTTTTTTAATAGTTGGGCCATGGTTTCAGTTCAGGTGCTGGGGCTTGGTTGTCCCAAGCCTATAGGGTCTGGGGTGAGCTCTAGTTTAGCCACATTTTTTTTCTTTTTCCTTTTTTAATGCCTTTTTTATTATTTACTCAAAATAAATTTTTTATCCATAATTAATGGTTAAATTTTTTTTATAGACTTATTAAATAAAATTAAAAATTTCTAATATAAATTGTTTTAGTACCATTTTCTAATTTGATTTTTAAAATAAATAAACTCAATTCATATAAAATTTTTGTACTTTCAATTAAGACAATTTTCATAATTAGTTTATTTAATTTTTATCTTATGTTTTAACTTTTTTAATTATTTAAAATAGTAAAAACATATTATATAGACTTACATGCGGTAAAGCAGGAATATTGTGCTAGTATTATAACTACAAAAACACTAGCTTTTCTATTTTAGCATTTTACCGTGTTCTTAATAGTGATGATTCTCTCAGTCTTCTTTTATTTTCTTTCGCCCCCAATTTTTTTTTTTTTTTTTTTGCGGAATTCTTAAGATTGATATTTTGGTCATGATTAGAAGAAAAATCAACAATTTAGCTAAGATTAATTCAATGGAGTTGCAATATAAAGTTTTCTTCAAACATTAATGTGTCTTTAGTGCAAAAGAAACTAAAAGTAATGCCAGTACTGATTCAAATTCAAAACTGTCAAATCCATTTTTCTGTCCAGGAAAAAAGAAATGGGATCATTTGAGAAATCAGGGAGTTCTACAAGAAACTTGGCTTGACTATTGATGATCAAATTCGAAATTCAATGACTTAAACCAGTGCATGCTTAATTCCCCAGAAAAAAATTGGGACAAATCAGTGGAAATTCCTTGTACATAAAATTAAAGTGGCAAAATATTTTAAAAGATCAGCAAATCATAGCAATAATCCACTTTGTACAAATGAATCTTCATGCGATTGCAATTCTCAATCAGAGAAGTGGAAGTCAGTTGAATTGATAAGCTCAATCCATCATTAAGGATTAAGATCCTCTTCTTTGTAGGCTTCATTTTGGTTCCAAACAGCACTACTCCACGGCTGTTTAACCAAATCGAACTTTATGAGCAGCTGAGAAATGCCTAGCTGCTCCCACCATTGCCTCCTCTGGCCTGAAGGGTGGTTCTGTGTTTTTTGCAGACCTGGCCTCATCATCAAAGCTCGCAGGGTCATGGAAGCAGAAAACCAGCAACCTTAAAAAGGCAGGACGCCTACTTTTACTGTTTCTATCCCCGTAGCCCATTTTGTTCAAGACAGACTGTTATGATTCAAAATCGAATGATAAAAGCAGATTTTTATGCACTATAAACTCTGAGGAACGTTTTCTTGTATGTGTTTCTTCTTGGTTTCTATGTTTATACAGAAACAGAGTTGCTACTTATATAGCTGAGTATTCTTGGTGGCCACGCTTATATTCAAAGGACTTCTGATGTCTGAGGTGTTTGTTTGTGGAAATTTTCAGGTGAAATGTATTTGTTTTCTTGTTGACCAATCCCCAAGGCACAAGCTGATCACTTGGGGTCCCACGTAACAGTTTCTTTCTCAGCAGTTTCTGTGAAATTCTGTTTGAAACTTTTTTTCCCAGAGAGAACAAAGTCAATGTTTTTTTTGTTTTAGAAAATCAGTCAAAACTTGGACTCTTTCACGAACCAATAAATAAAGAAAATGAACATTTTGAAACTGTGAGCTGTATGCTTTCTGTTCAAGCAATAAGTCAGATCAAAGTAGTCTAAATCCCTCAGAAGCTGATAGCCTGATATTATATTATTTTGTTCTTCCAGGAAGCATATAAGCAACAACTTTGGCAATTCAACAGTATATGTCAACCGAACGCTTGGAGAAATGCGGAGATTGTAAGCTGGTCATTAAAGAAAACCCAATAAAAGACTTGACGGTTATGACTAGCAGACATAAGTGATCAAAGAGAGACACGTTAAATCAAGTAGGAGCTTACCCTATTATATATACAAGCAAATTCAAGAAAATTACTTCTATGAACTTACTCTTATAAAATCTACAATGAATAATTATCTGGTTAATTATCCTTGTTTACCCGGTGACCATTATGGTAATCAACTTAGACAATTACAGAAAGGAATGCTTTTTGTATCTTAACGTTATATGTATGTGTATATGAAGATCATGATAAATACTTCAAAAATAGAGAATAATTAGGATCGAAACACTTAACCGTAAATAGTTTCACTAGATCAGGATAGTAATATTAAACCACTCGTCTTTATTTTCACAATTCAAGTGTCAAGACAATACTCCTTGTTTTAGTATTTTATCCGTAGGGAGTCTTTGTATTCTGTCTTTTTTTCTATTATCTCTTATCTCGTCTCTCTTATCTTTTTCTTTTTTAGAGACACATAAAATATATATATATGCATAGGAGTTCAAAGAGAAACAATGTTTCCCTCAGTAATCGTTTTGATAGTTATTATTTTCTTATCGGGTCGACCCATCATGGACGACCCGACCCAAATTCTTTTATTTTTTCTAATAGTATACATGTATTTTTTATCAAAATTAACATTTTGGATTAAGATTTTACTTGATTACTTGCTTTGCTTTTTTCTCTAAGAAAATATCTAACCAAGCAACTCGGAACTTCTATTTTCCATCAAGTTCGTATTATATATCAATTATTTTTACAACATGGGAATTTAATGAGTTATGCACATAAAATACAAGAAATTCTTAAAATAGAGGATAAAATAAAATGACTTTACGTGACAATACTATATAATGTTGCTACCCAATGTTAGCGAGATTCTCGAAAATTTATTGTTGGCATTATTTATTTGAAAAAGTGAGTTATTTATTAATTTTGGATTCGCCATCTAGTATTAAAGAAACAAAGAACTTAAAATGGGCACTCATTTCGATATTATTGGATAAAAATTGATTATGCCTTTGGAAAGATATCAATTACCCAAAAACACCATTTCCTAGGAAAGTTACCAAGTCTAGTTTAGTCCTAAATTTTATCTCTTAAAAATTTCTACTTATGCCAAGATTGATTTTAGGTCAAAATTTCAAGCTTTATTTCCTAAACCAATTTTTTTTTTTTTTTTGTAATATCATATTGAACAAATTGTCAAATCCTTCGTTGGATGTCACGTCAATTCAATATCGGATTCGGTTTAACTCCCCACGTAACCAACATGTTGAAGAACATCTTAATTACTAAAGTGATTGATTTGGCTTAACATCAGCTTCTATTAGATAGGAGACTTTGTTAATTTTTCTCTTAGTATTTTCATTTTTTTATTATATATATTTTTCTTTTTCTCTTTTTTACTATTTTTTGTAGTTTTATTTTTACTTTTATTTTTTTTATCAATGGAAAATTTTCATTAGTCCCTAAAAATTAAGAGACTCGACAATTTGTTCACTTATTAATCATCTAATTTAATTGTTGAAATAAAACCTAAACAATTAAACATTGTAACTAGGTAAATAAATAAATAACTTAACAATTCAAGAGTATTAAACCTAAACTAGGTAGGAAAATAAAAAGGCATGTATTAAAAAAAATTCAGGACTAATTTACCTAGTAAAAGGCTAAAAAGTAGGGTAACCGGTCCTTTGGGTCCATTAAGCTAGGCTTGCTTTTTCGTCCTAGCTCTCTTCCTTCCTCTTTTTTTTTTCTTTTGGCCCGGGCTAGACCCAACCCATTTCCTTTTTTTCTTTCTTCTTTTCTTCCTCAACCCAGCCCTCGTTTGCATTCTCTTTTTTCTCTTTCCTTTCCTTTCTTCTATTCCGGATTAAAAGTCCAGCTTTTCAATATCTCGAGAATTCTACTCCATTAATTGGAATTTCCCCCAACGAGTGTCTAGGCAATTCCTAAACTTATTAGACCTTCTCTTAGTTTCCCCTTCTTAGATATTTTGACGAATTTGAGTCCTTGGACTCAATTGATGGTAGTGACAATGTCACCGACATTTTCCTTTGCTGAAATGGAAAACGAGTAAGTGGTCGATTAATATGACCAAAGGAGGTTATTCGGGTTACTTGAAAGAAGATTAATCGATTAGTATGAACTTGAAAGGCCGAGTGTGGTTGTTTTGATTTCCTCTCGCTTGTAAGTGATTGAAGATGACTAGTGAATGAAGTTTGTAAAGATTGTGTAATCCGAAAGTTAATTGTGTGTTGTTATTATGATTGAGAACTAGACAAATGCTTGAAGAGATTGACTTCGGTGTTCTTGAAACCCAAAACAACAAGCAAACCCGTAACGTGAAGAATAAGAACTTAGAAATTCAAGAGAAAAACCTAGAAACTCAAGTACACAAACCCATAAATTCAACCAAAACCCAAAAAAATTGAAACCCATATTCCTCTCTCTTCACTCTTTGGTTTTCTTTTCTCTTTTCTCCTTTGATCCTCGAGTTCCCGGACCAAAATCTCCTGCTATTTATACCCGATTTTCTCGCTAACAAACTCAATTTTTCATTTCTTTTCTTTATTTCCAACCATTTGATCAAAAACCTCATCCCTCCATTATGTTATTTTCATTAATCGTTCTTATCCTTTTTATTTATCGTAGCGCGACTTGCGGACCAAGCAAAGGAGAAGAATTAATGAGCTAGTCGGGAAATCAAATCGATTAGAAAACCATGAAAGATCAAAATCATTCTTGGTTTTTTACCGCAAGAGACAAGTGAAAGCTTAACTAGTAGTTTTCTAGATCAGTCCCTTAATTTTCTAATTTTTTTAATATCATCCTCTCGATTATTTTCAATTATGCTCTTACTTCGTCCCGATTTTTGTTTAATTTAACCCTTATTAGCTTCGATTTTAACTTGATTTAATGCAATTATGCCCCTCGTGAAACCTATCTCTCAATTTTTTTAATTTTTATATTTTATATTTATTTTTATTTTTTGTAGTAAGTACTTCAATAAAGTAAAATTTATAAAATAAAAATAAATGTAAATAAAGTAAAAATAAGGAACAACCAAAATAGCAGATAAAAGATGATAATAATAAAATGTAAAATAAAGAAATAAAAACATAAAAGGGATAAAATTGAAAAAAATATAGAACCTAAAATTTTGGTTATAACAGTTGCCCTTTTTTTATAATGCTCACGATGCAAATGCTAGCTGAAGTGCAAATTTCGGATTAGGTTTGGTTAATGAGTTTGTAAAGCTAAAAAAAGTAAATTAAGTAGAAAAAATAGTTTGGTTGACGTGAGGGGCTTGATCTATAAAAGTAAAATACAATGCGATGTTCTTGTTGTGAAGGGTGATTAACCCCGAAAAGTTAAATATAATGGCCTTATTGTCAAGGGTGGTTTGCCTTGAAAGGTAAAATGTGATGGCCTTATTGTCAAGGACAACCTCCGTTAAGGACTCGCTTACCTTGAAAAGTAAAATGTAATGTGATAACCTTATTATCAAGAATGACCTATCCTAAAAAATAAAACACAATGGCCTTGTTGTCGTGGGTGACTTATTCCGAAAAGTAAAATGTAATGATCATTTGTCAAGGGCGGTCCGCCTTAAAAAGTAAAATGTAATGATTACTAGGCAATCCCATCCAAAATATAAATTGGGTTAGACAACCCTACTTGGAAGTGAGAATTGATCGTTGGCTTTTGAATTTTTATGCTTGGATGATATCTATTCTGAGTTGTTTGCTTAAAGTGAATTTAAGGGGTGTGTTTCTTCGTTTTTCCTTAGAATTTCTCTATTATGAGCTTAAGGCGGACTTTGTATTTTCCTTTATGCTACAATGTTTCGAAATAAGACTTGGCACATAGATAGTTGCGTACTTGTGAGAAATATAGACCGCCTCAATCAACTCCCTTTTTGACACTTTTCTTTTTGGTTATCGGGGCTCGATGTTGAATTGTGATTTGGGATCCAAACACCATGACCTTGCCCCCGGCTATGTTTATCATTTATGTAAACTTAGGCTTATACGTTCTTTTAATTGACTATTGAGGTAACTATGATCATCTTATTCCATCAAAGGTAGTGATCATTCCCCATTAAGATAAACTCGTCAATTGATTGTTTACACCGGCTAATGTCATGCATCACTCATGTTTCCTTAGTAGTTTTCTTTGTGATTTGGGATCTCATATGCATTTTGAAACACTTGGCAACTTTTCATTTTGTGAATTCCTCCTTCGTAAGGAAAGTTAGCTAGATTTCAATAAGGGATCTTGAATTCAAGGTTTAGATAAAACTCCATGAACACTTCGTGGACTTACCATACAAACATTAC